CATACCAAAATATAGCTAAAAATACATAAATATCGCTCGAAATATATGTATAATTATTGCGATATCAACTGCACTCAGGGGCTCCTACTCGTCGAGTGCAAGAACCTACTCGACGAGTAGGATGAGTTTGGTCATGGACTCGTCGAGTCCCCCCCCCCCCATGGACTCGGTGAGTTCATGCTGCAGAATGCATAAAAACGAGTTTTTTTTTCACAATTTTGCATCAAGTATCAAACAAACAAGCCTAGGCTCTGATACCACTGATAGGTTTTGAGCATTCTAACACTCCTAAGTGTACATGCAACCCTAGAAAACCTTGGATCTATGTTTGTCTAAAATACATGCAAAATATTTTTTCCAAGGTTCATAATCCTATCTAGCATACATGGGGAACATTAATCATAAAAGATTGCTAGGATTACATACCTTGTAGTTGTTTTGATTCCTTGAAAACCTTGAGAGCCTAGCACCCCAAGTGTGATGCCTCAAATGTTTCACACAACACCAAATGCTCTTGGAATAAACTTTGAGAGAATGTAGAACACTTCTAATTCGGCTTGCCCTCTTGTCTTACTAGTGTAGTCGATTTTGGTTGCTCTAAGTATGTTTATATAGTATGTTGCATTAGGGTTACACCATGTAAACCCTAATGTAACATGACTCTTCATTTCCATGACCCATGGATTTGTAACTCCCATGGAGCATCCTATGGACCTTAGCCCAACTAGATAATCCATGGAGCATCTAGCCCACTATACAAGTATGGATGATTTACACAATCAACCCATATATTTAATTAGTCTCCTTTTGATCACTTAATTAATTCTAGATTAATTCTTGATCAATACTAATTAAATAATACTATTAATATATTAGAACTTATAATATATTAATAAACCACAAGTGTTATTTTTCTCATTTAGTCTATCCAAATGCATAATGTCATGCAACCCAAATGGACCATGTCGGGTCGGGTCAAGTACATACCAGAAATAGTTATGGACTTAGACACCTTATCCAACAGCAACATCGGGCAGTGACACTCCAACAAAAATTAGAAGCAGTAACCCAAAGGAAAAAAATGACTTATTAAGGTAATTAACTTTTCAATATGTTTACATCTGGGTAACTATCTTTTTTTTTGTACACATTTAGGTAACAAACTTGTTGGAAGTATTAACATATGACCATTATGACCTGTTGTAGCAGGTTAAATCCTAGATGTGAACACTTTCAACAAGTACCTAGATGTGTACAAAAAAAATAGTTACCCAAATATGAACAAAACGAAAAGTAAGAGTAAATTACACGAATGATCCCAGTGGTTTCGAGGAATTTGTGTTTTTGGTCCCTAACTTATTTTTTTAACTCGGATGGTCCATACTATTTATTTTTGTTGCACGTTTGGTCGCTGTCTTACCTAAAAAGACTATTGGCGTTTTAATTGTTGCTGGGCAAAATAGAAGGGTGGAGGTCACGAGTTTGATCCCTCCCCCTATCAATTTAATTGTTTTTTCTAAAGAAATTTCAAAAATTGTCCCTGTGGTATATCAAATGTCACAAATTCAGTCCTTTTATAATTGAAAAGACGAAAATACCCTTATAGATTTAGTCCCTAACGGCGTTTTACTAACGTCGTTAGTAAAAAGGGCCAACCTTGCAAGTTTTGCAAACCACAAGGACCATTTGCATCAAAAAAAATTAGCAGGGACTGACTTTGTGACTTTTGGCAAACCACAGAGACCATTTTTGTAAATTTATCTATTTTTTACAACTAAGGATATTTTTGTAATTTTGTCTATATATAATTTTGTATTTAAAATATATTTATCATAGAGCCCAATAAGAATTTGGGCTTTTAAAACTTAGATATTGGATTCGGACAGTTAATACTTTTTAGTTTTTATTCCTTTGCGAGACCACCAGTCCACGACTACTGCGACTCTGCGAGTCCTCGTTTTGCAGATCCCGGTCAATTCTTAGATCTTCTCGCCGGCGATTTAACCAAAATCACCACCTCCATCAACATTCAACGCTGTAATCTTCCAACGACAATAGGTAAATTTTAGCACATCACCTTGGCTTCATATATAAATTCGTACTAATCAGACAATTTATTTAAGTGATTGTTGGTGTTTCCGTTCTTTCTCACTCTTTCTTTCTGGATCGATCTCGAATTGTGATTTAACAGGAATGATGGATGGAGGTACACCTAATTTCAAAACTTGGAATATATTGTACCCTGTTTACATAAATTCAAAGAAGACTATTGCTGAAGGTAGAAGAATCTCCGCAGCAAAAGCATGCGAAAACCCTACGGCTCTCGAAATCGGCGATTGCTGTGGTCACCTCAAAATTCCTTTCGCTATTGAGGTTTTTCTTATTCGGTCGTTAACTTCATTGATTTTGTATCACTTATTCCCTACATTCCTACAAAAGAACCACACTTGTTGATTCTCACAAGCAAATTTGATTTTAAACGATGCCTGGATTCAAAATTTTCTGAAGTATTGTAATTGTCTTGAAGATTGATAAGGCGTATCCAAGGGATTTCATGCAAGTAGGGAGGGTGAGGTTTTTGCTGAAGAGACCAGATGGGAGTTTGCACAATCCACTTGTTGCATCCAGTAAGCATTTCTAATTTCCTTCAATGTCTTTCCCTTATATGCTATGAAATGAATATGATCACATAACAAAACTATGATCTAAGAATGAAGTAGTTTCAGGTTTATATTATTAATTGTGGAAAAAATATTGCAGAAAAACAGCTGATGATTCGTGTTGCTGAATTGGTTCCTAGACACCCTGGTAGACTGAAGAAACAAGAGCCTGCATCTACATCAAATGCTGTGCCTTCTAAATCTGGAAAGGGTGGAAAAAAGAAGAGATAGCTCTTAGCTTCACCCTTTACGAATATGTAGTTTTAAAAACCAGACATTGTTGCTGCTTAATGCTTAATTGTGTGAATCATAAGATTGTTTGTTAAGTTTTCTAGTGCTATTTTCAGATAAATCTTTACATTTTAAGCCTTTTAACTGACAAGCCATTAGGAAACTCTTTTTTTTTTTCAGAAAAACCATGATAATTTCATTTTTGTTTTTATTGAAGCCATGTTTACCGATTAAAAAGCAGGTTACAAATGCTTTACATATTTACATACTCAAAAACATTCCAATATGATATACTTTGTGTTGGTTGGAAATTATTGTAAGCATGCCAACTGATTTTAGTAGATAAATGGTGTCTTAAATAAATAAATTAATAAATTGAAATTATCAGAGGTTCTTATATATAAAATCATAATGTTTTTTCGGGTAGAAAAAGAAAATATATAAGCTTTTCTGAACATCTTATTTTACCTTTTTGGATGCAACAAAAAGTTGTGGGTTTTGTTGTATTGATATTAATCTCGATTGTTTGTTATGTGTGTGGCAATTTACAAACTTATGAATTGTAAATTGGAGTAATAACAACTATCTGTTCAAAGGATAAATGTAAAATGATACCCAAACCAAAGGTCTCAAATTCAAATCCTCCGGTTTTTCCCATATAATTACATAAAAAAAATGTGTCAATAGAAAAACAACCATGTCTTTGAAAGATACATGGTACAAGAATACACACACAAAGCAAACAGAAGAGATGTATATTTTCTACCCAAAGGAATTTTGTTAACAAGAAAGTTCTACCAAAATAAAATAAAAAGAAAGAAGCAACCTATTTATCTATATTCTAGAAAACAAAGAAACCATTGGAATCGCTCAGAAAAATATGATGGAGACACCCATTGATAAGCATCCAACAGCCACCCATGGGCTCAACCGTTCACCTGTTTCAAATATTAACCACAACTCAGATTCCATATCATATGTCTCATTATGAAAAAAAAAATAATAATAATAATAATGAAAATGAAACATGGTAACATCACATGCCGATGTACATGAGCATCGGAAGCTTTACCTATTCTAGCAGCCTTCCAGAAGAATCCCCGAAATCTGCAATAAACACATTATCAGAAACCTACTTTAAGGAAAACAAATCAATTTTATCAATATAAAAGGTATTGTCATTTGTATCCATTTTGGGATTTTATAGATGTTTTGGGTTTTGAGGTCTAAAATTAATTGTAGATTTTTGTTAAAAGATGGAATTGGGGATTAATGTTGTGTTTTAGACCCAATAAAGATGTCATTTAGATGTTCCTAATGGCCAAAAAAGGTTTATGGTTCATGGGGAATCGATTGGGAATCTTTGGTATTTTTGTTAGGGTTTTATTTGTTACATGGCCAACAGTATCAACTTACTAAGTAAAAATGAGGACCTTTTCACTGAAGCTCAACTAAACTAAATACAAAATACTGATAATTGTGCTTATTAGAGCCTACAAATCTATAATATGAAAACAACAAAGACAATCTTTCACCAAAATACATGTTAATGTAGAAGGATGTGTGATCCAATTATGTATTCAAAGGCTAGATAGCACTTGTTTCTGTGAGAAATACATGCCACAACACGGATTCATTACTCATATTCTCACAAAAATCCCTAATCACTACTCCCTTTATAGGAAGACAATCTTCCACCAAAACAAGCCTTTCATAAGAAGCTAATTTGGATAGATTAAATCAAATGTGCTCCTAAAAGAAGAAACTATAAGGCAGTGAAATTTAATAGAAACAGTCTTACTAATAAACCCCACCACTCATAAACACTAATAAGGAATTCACCATCTAATCCAAGATACACAAGCTGAAGAAAATCACTTTGCTCAAAATTAGATCACTTCTTTCAGATCTCCATGCAATTCACAGTCTTAACTCTTAACACAGAATAACAACGTCATACCACCAAATCTATTTCGAGATTGTGTAGTGATCAACCTATGAATCTAGTCTAACACTTGATCAGAACCTAAAATAACCAAATTTTACATGGTAAATCCTAATAGATCCTCCAAAAAACAATAGAATGTGTGTATAGATGTGCAAGGAACAAGGATTTACATAAAAAAGTCAGAAAATTTTAAGATTAACCCTAGTAAAAGAGTATTGGGTACATGGAAATCTCTGTTATGATGAACCTTTCAATAACGGATCCGTTTCTTTCAATTTTGAATAAAGGGGAAGTTTGGAAAATAATTCTTAATCTTTAACAGTAATCAAAGCTATGTTTTCTAGGTCAATCGATACCTAAATCAGGGGTTGTCAAAATATAGATGATGAATAGCGATCAAATTAGAAACGATTAGAGATTGACAGGGAGAAGCTAACCCTGTTTTCTGTTCAAGGATGGTAGGAAACTGCATCTTCAAGAAAGTGCACGTGCATATTACCAACAAAACCACCGTCAGAAATGAATGGAAATTGAACAGCGCCGACTGTATAAATCAAATTAACAATCCATAAGATTAGATTTATGAGAAATCGATACAAAAACCCATGGAGTGTAAACAATTACTCAATTTACCATGTTAGTGGAACCGTGAGAATTGAAGTGGAGGGTTCTTCTTCGTCGGCTCCGATTCAGATTTAGTTACAGGCCAAAAATAAAGCGTAAGCAACAACATATACGACGTCGTTCAGCTTGTGATTCCGAAGAATTACTTACTTTTAATTAATATTTTAAGAAAAATTAATAAAATAACCAATTATAGTTTGGCGAATATACAGTTTCATCATCATATTTTCTTAGAATCCGTATATATTTTCCATACAATTTAACATATTTACTTTTTTCGGTAAAACGTAAACCTTAAAAAAAACAAAAAACAGATAACGGTCGGAATTTAATACTTTTCTGTTTTTTGGAAAAAAAAAAACTCGAAAAATCTGCAACAACAGTGGTCGTGATGAATTTTTTTTTAAAGTATAGATAGTTTTTAGAACAAAATAGTAGAGTGGTTAAACCGGATATTAGTCATGCATGCTATAATGACTTTTATTTTACTAACCTCTAAGTAAATTATTTAAATTGTTCATGTAGTTTGGCTAAATTGCAAGTTTTATCATTACTTTTATTTTTCATTCGAACTTTATGATATTCTTTTGTTACCGTTTTGGTATATGTTAGACATGAAATTGTTCTATTACTTTATCTATTTTTAATTAATTTATTATATATATTTTTAGAAAAACAAAATAGATCATTCCATTCCATTCCATCCCACCCCACACATTCACCTCTTATGAATTCCCCTTCTTCACCAAATTCAAGTCGTTGTCAACCCTGCTCTAGTCATCAACATTTCTTTGATTTTGTTTTTCTTAAGCTATCAGATCCGTGAAAAACAAAAAAACCTAAAAATCATAAAAATACATAAAAAAAAATACTTAGAGATCACAAATTTTCTTTTGACTTTATAAATGAAAAAATCGCACCTTTTAGGGAAAATTCGCTGAAATTTTTTTTGAAAAAAAACCAAAAAAAAAAATCGATTTTTTTTTCAGCGAATTTAAAAAAAAACCTTACAATTTCTTCATATATAAATTCAAAAAAAAAAGTTTTGTGATCTCTAAGTATTTTTTATGCATTTTTATGATTTTTAGGGTTTTTTTATTTTCCATATAACCCTTCCCTACATATATATATATATATATATATATGGGAAAGTTATTGCAAAACTACAAAAAAGATGTGAAAACGCGAGAACCAATTAGAAGATGACACATCATTAATCTTTATTATTTATAATAAATCATTTAACTAATTTATAAAGGGTATAGATGACAATTGAATAACTTGGCAATCTACGTTCACAATATTGCATACTAATAACTACATATTAAAAAAGAATCCACAACATAATAACATAATTTTGTTGGAATACTTTGAGTCTTCATATCAAGCAATGATCCAAAATCAATTCTTCTTACACACTCTTTTTGGATATCATTCAAAGATTTCACAGCCCCATAAATAGAATTAACAGAAACACGAACATATAAAGCTTTCACATTACCAGCTTTACAATCATTTTTTTTCCTTTTTTATTAGATTTTACTACAAACTTCTTAAAACTACTTATACTCGCCTCTTCAAAATCAGAATCACTAGAAAAAGGATTAGAACCTAAAAAAAAAACCAAAAATTACATTAATAAATACATAACAAAAACCTGATTATGTTATTGAATGTATATTACCATATAGTCTTTTTTTCTTCGTATTCAATGAATTACTGGAATGAATCTCAATTGGATTCTTCACATCTAATTCAAAAAAAAAAAAAAAAACAATTGAATTATTTACAGGAAAAACAAAAAGAAAAAAAACACTTACCTTCGTTGATTTTTTCCTCTTGCTAAGTAAATCATCAATTCTATCTTTCCTAAGCTTCAAAGAATTACTATAATGAAACTCAATTGACTTGTTCACATCTGAAAAAAAATTTGCAAAAAACAAAAACAACAACAACAACAATTAAATTATTTACTCAAAAAACGAGAATGAAAAAAACACATACCTTCATTGATTTTTTTCCCATTACTAAGTACATCATCAATTAAATTAACATCATCTACCAATTCTTGTGGATCTTTTTTAATCTTCCACGATTTACTGGAATTTATCTCAATCGGATTGTTCATATCTGGAACAAAAAAATATATATATAACAAAATAAATTTACTAAAACAACATCTTAATCAACATTGATAAACATATGAACCTCCATCGTTTTTTTATTCGTGTATAAAATCTTCAACTGCACAATCTTCATCATCTTCAATTTCAATCGGTTTATCAGCACAGTTCGAATTCAAATTCATGTTTCCACCTACTTTCGAACGCAAGATCTTCTTTTTTTTTTCTTTGCGAATTAACCTTTTTTCTACTTGACCGAGTAAACGCAAACATCGACTTTTAACGAAAAAAAAAAACGATGAATCAGAATTCTCGGTTCTGTCCAGGTATCTTCAAGAAAACTGAATTAGATAGACCACCTTTAGTAAGGAAGTTACAAATTCAAAATTCAAAATCTATTCTAAAATATACAATTACAACCTTGCCCTTATATATACATTTACATCCTTAAAATAATTAGAAATAAATATTAATTACCAAATCCATGTGTCCAATTTTGATTGGTTCTCGCTTTTTCACAGAATATATATATTTTCACATGAACCTATATATATATATATATATATATATATATATAT